TCACCTGACCTATGGATCTTGGGACACAAGCTGGCTGGAGTCTCCAGCCTGTCACCTGACCTGTGGATTTTGGGCTTGCCAGCTTCTCACACTCGTGTGAAACAATGCCCTGAAGTGAATTAATTTCTGCCTATCTATCTTCTATGTATTTATCTATGTATCTAATTATCTATGTATCTGTCTACTTATCTACCCATCCATCCACCTACCCACCCATCCACCCACCCACCCATCCATCTGTCTAGTTTTGTTTCTCTAGAGAACTCTAAGACAATGTGCCTGGGAAATCCTGCCCTGGGGAGGATGGAAGGATTCCATCTAGAGAAGCTGGGGTCCCGGCCCAGAATGTCCCCCACGCGCGACTGCAGTTCTGCAACTGCCCTTCAGACACTGCCCGGGGCTTTTCAGAGTGTTCTACTCCGCTCCTGACCAGAGTGGTCCCTAACCACAAGCGGGCATCAAGGATCGTCGAACTTATTGGAATTGCAGGCAAGCTTTGCCGTCTTTTCCCAGGGAGAAGGTGCTAGCTTTCATGGGCCTTCAAGGGAGCTGTGACCCAGAAAATGGCTAAGAACCAAGTAATGCTGGAATTTCACATATTTCAACTCAAGCTTTCTCTTTCAAGGGCAACCACATTTCTTCTTTTTCTTTTTGAATATTAATCAACAATGGAGCATTTGTATCAATGTTTCCAAAACCACAAGTGGCACACCTCTGGTGGTATCAGAGATACTTCTAGATGATACAAGAGCCCAACATTAAATAACACTGAATCACGTGGTAACAGTTATTCCCTCTCCTCTCTTGGGTACAACAGACCCATAACCCAACTACTGTCAAGTTGATTCCAACTCATAGTGACCCTATAGGACAGAGCAGAACTGCCTCACAGGGTTTCCAAGGGGCGCCTGGTGGATTCAAACTGCCAACCTTTTGGTTAGCAGCCATAGCTCTAAACCACTATGCCACCAGGGTTTCCAGGGACAAGGGCTTGCTTAGTTGCTACTATGTTTTTGACACCTAACATTGATATTTTTCCTTTTTAACCAACAGCGAGCAGGCATGCTCAAAGTCTTTGGCAGGCAACTGTATTTGGCTAGATTTTAATACCAATATCCTATTTTCTTTGGATAGATATTTAGTTTTACCTTCTGTTAACAGCAGGTCTGCTTTTCAACTTGGGACAGTGATATAGCATTTCCTTTATTAAAATTAACTTTATTAAGTAAAAAGTAAGGTGACTTGATTTAACCAAATCCATTGCCGTCGAGTCGATTCCGACTCATAGCGACCCTATAGGACAGAGTAGAATTGCCCCATAGGGTTTCCAAGGAGTGGCTGGTGTATTTGAACTGCTGACCTTTTGGTTATCAGTTGAGCTCTTAACCACTGCACCACCAGGGCTCCTTGATTTAAGGAAACATATTAAGTAACAGACCTTACGGGTGGCCCTCAGGTGTAGCAAAAGTTGAAAAGGGATTCTGTTTCATTTCTTGCTTCTGAATGCCAAGGTTTTGGGAAAGGCTGACTGATGCGATTTTAGAGCCAGAACAGTTAGATTACCAGCCAGAGCTTGGTCCTGTTTCCCAGATGAGTGTTATGCCCTGTTTTATTCATACAATGCCTTCATGTGAATTATGAAAAGGAGTCCTAAGCTCAAGACATTTCATCTAATGGAAAACTGCCATAAATACAGATTTTGTTGGCTCCACTGACTTTACTGCCATCTGCTGGAAAGTTGTAATAATGAATATATCCATATATGATGCCACCACTTGTCAGTTCGTCGTACTGTAGTGGCTTGAATGTTGCTGTGACGCTGGAAGTTATGCTGCCGGTATTTCAAATAACAGCAGGTTCTCCCATGGTGGACAGGTTTCAGC